AAAACTTGTCGAAGGTATCAAATTGATTTGTTTTATCCTTTGATCATTTTTATATCGTTACTTTTGTTTGAAAGTAATAAATTTAGGTGCTGGTAAGGATATGGTCGCGGAAAACATTGGAATGTCGCGTTGGAGCATATGTATGTATGACACAATTAGTTAAAGCTCATCCTGAACATTTCGTGAGCTTATACAAGGCAAGCAATGGTTTTCTACAAGATTGACTCTTCATAGAGATTGGCTCGATGCGATTAGTCTCTGATAAAAAAGAATCTATTAATTATTCCGGTGAGATCCTCCCTTGAAATTTGATGTTTTCAGAGCTGTTATCTCGGATTTGTATCGAATTCTCGTGAAGTTACCTCAGAAACATGGCCCATCCTTCATTTTATGCACAAGTTAGAATTTATGTTTTTTTTTTCTTTTAGCACAAGCAGATAGTGAATGTCCAAGTTAGAGGTTTTCTAAAGATTTCAAGAGTATTTATCACGTCATTGGAACATGCTACAACGATGCTAAATTTGTTTTACTCACTTGTTGTTTTTATGGCCATCTTTGATTCAGAACATTCGCTGAATTGACAGTTCTTCATCCAAACCTTGCCTATCCATATGCATTCGTGTACATCCGGCAAATTGCAATCCATCTCAGAAATGCTATCATTTCGAAGAAGCGGAAGGTATGTCTACTAGTTAAATCCAATTTGCTCATATGCAAAATAGGATATATTCCCCCACAATCAAAGAAATACAATATAAAATCTTAACCAAATCGCTCGTCATATTGAAAGGGATCAATAGAATGAATAACGCAAATCAGTCTATTAATCATTTGGTGGAATTAATTTTTTTTGGTTATGGGAGGAGAAAAAAATGCCTAATTCTGTTCCACATTATAAATCAAAAGTTTAGGATATGGTCCGTACGATTTACAATTGGCAAATGATGCAATGTCTTTACCTGTGGACTAGAGTAGTATCAAAAGCCCACGGCGTGCATGATTGTGAAGCCATTTGTGAACTGTCTTATCCACTTACTCAACTTGTGCATGGAGTACTTAAGTGAGATCATGATTTACCGTTTGCCGTAGTAATCGATATATCGATTAAGTCTTCATCTGTTGTTCCTAAAGACTATGCATTGCAGGTTATATCACTCTCTTCGGTATCTGCCTCTGCGATTACATTGTATCTCTTTACTTATTCAATTGCAAGCTAACTGTGGAGTTTACATCCCTTCACTTACCCTTGCTGTTGAGGTAATGCATTTTTCTAAACTAAGAATGTAATTTTAGTTTTATTTTTTCAATCCAGTTCTCCCATGGTTATAGGACTACTTTACCATTGTTATTCTAAAATCTTCATTCGTGTTTTCGTTTTAGCTTCTCAGTGATGTTGTGCTGATCTTGGCAAAGAAACCGAAAACTATCAAAAATGCCAAGGTTGTCGACATGGAGTCCTCACTCAAGGCAAGTTTTACGATCTTCACCAAGTGAAAAAAGTTTAGTGAAACTCATATTCCAGGTTGCAGCGCTGACATTAGAGGAGAACTCTTGGCGAACTGCACTTTGTGATTACATCTTTAGAGTCACGCTTCAGGTAGAGCTATCAAACGTAAAAGATTTGCTTAACTCCTCCCTCATCTTCTTCTTCCCTCACCTCATAAATTTTAATCTTGTTTCTCAG